CTGCCCGGGTGTGGGGCTGGGGAGGGGGTCGAATGGGGGAGATTTGGGGTACTGTACAGGGTACAGTACCCAGGAGTGGCCCCAGGACCAAAGCCTTCAAAACGTGATTTTATTGGTCTACGTGTACGCCAGGTGTACACGTGGACAATCTCCCTTTGAAGAGCGGCGGGCCTGTGAAGTGGAAGACGTTGGCGGCCCCTCTATAAGAGAAAGGGGCGCGCCGCGACACCCCGCGAAGGGCAGAACAGAACAACGACACCCGGACCGACCCCCCCTCTTGAAATAAACATCTCGCTTTTCTCTCTCCCCTACGCTCGCAGCCCCCCCTTTTTTAGCTGTCAACAGGTTACAACAATGTTCTTTCTCTGCTGGTACCGGCAAAGTACCCGCAATTAAGCGGGAGAGTACGCAATTTTTCGTGGATGTCCGACTTTCCACGGTCGCGCCCCCAGCTCTGACAGAAAGTTCTGGTTGGTCTGTGGCATAACAAAAAAAGGGTCGGCTGGGACGTCCCTCAATTTCGCAGCGAGCCCGTCAAACAGGGGCGTTGCTGCGTGTCCTCCCTGTCTCCGACATGGCTTCATTTCCCCCTGGTGTGCAGCGTGGTGAAATATGCCCGCATATGCAACCCTTACACATCGCGACGCACGGTACCCGCCCTTCATCAAACGGCGCAGCCGGCTTGCGCACACGTCCGGCGGCAGTCAGACAGGCGTGCGGTAAATGTAGTCGCTTCCGCAAGCGCGTGCGTGGTATCATCCAGTGACTAGCGCGCGCGTTGCGAAATAGCGCGACGCGGTTCTGTCGCAGATTTGCGCGATGAGGTGCACGGACTACTTTGCTGGGCGTGTGTGTGCTCGCTTCTGTTCCATCCTGCTTGTCTTGATGCTTCGAGGCGGGTGCGCTGCTCTGGGGCTGCATTGCGGTCGCAACTGCGCCGGGTGGGACGGCGGAAGGCCTCGACTCCGAGGGGCTTTTTCTCATGTACCCCCACAATGGGCCATAAAATGTCTCGGGTGGGCTCGCAATCGTTCCACAGTGCTTGCCGTGGTCCTCTCCGTCATGCCTCGAGGCGGGTGCGCTGCTGTTGGGCTGCATTGAGGTCGCCTTGAAGCAGAGCCTGAAGAGTAGCACGAGGACTACGGTGACCATGATGGCGGCGACGATGGAGCCGATGGTTGTGACGACTATGGCGCCGGCCGAGAGAGCGGACGGGCGGATGACTTGTGCATTGGGGGGCAGAATCATGGCGCGTTAAGGAGGGGAATATGCGGAGAGCGGGACACGAGGAAGGGGAATGTCATTGCAGATATTTATCTCGGATGATGGCAAGCACAATCCTCTTTCTTCCACCGCAAGGGAGTGGTGCGATATCTCAGACGCAAGATTCTTTTTACTTTTTGCCTGTTTATTCATGCAGAAACTGAGAAACTTCATGATTCTTCATGAAGAAACGACTTTAGACAATGGTAGCCACGACTTACACGTTGCCTTTACGTGCAAGGTGTTATTAACACGTTGCCAACTTGTGCGTCGTGGTAATGCGCACGTGTGCCGTTTTAAAAGCTGTCACGTTCAACATAGGGTACTTTCGAGGCTCATGGGTGTAGTATAATCACCCCCAACGACGAGAGGGGTGAGTAGTGACAGTTCGGAAAGACCCCGATCGGCGGGAAGAAAGAAGCACGGCCCACCCACGGTACCGAGCACGGGCTCGAGGTAGCGGTGGTAGAGCGGGATCGGGGAGGACGCGCGCACGCGCCAGCGGTTCTACGCCTCGACGCCCCGGAGCGGTACTGGGTGACGATCCAGTACCGACGGGCGGAGGCGGAGCCGGCTCGTGGGCGTGCTACGCGCGTCCTCAACCCGCGCGCGGTGCTACTCCTAGGTAAAACGGACGGAAGTACCTAAAAGGAAGCGGGCGGACCAAGGTGGAGGATGCTTGACAAGTCCCCCCTTGTCGTCCTCCACCGCCGGCGGTCCGCTCATATTTAATGTACATTGTAGTCTATCATAACTCTACAGTAGTGCCGGTCTACCGACACTGTAACGCTGTCAGCCGGCGGGGATGACATTCCACGTGTAGTACGCGTCCCGTACACGCGGAGGACTCGTGTGTGCGCGCATGGCTGTAAGGCTCGTCGCCTTACTGTCCCTGATCCGATCCTAATCTAATTTCCGTTTGGGCTTATACCACACTGGGAAAAGCAGCCATGTCAATCAGATGGAGAATAGACTCTATCTCGGGGCTGCGCGAGACCCCTGAACAAGGTTACTGTGATATCCTCAGGCTCTGGATCTGGACCTCTTGCCTCACATGAGGCAAGAGGGCCAGTGGCACTGGTCCAGAGCCCGGACCAACCTCCGCTTCCGCCCCAGAGACTGAGGCCTCGTTCTCTGCCGCATAGCGCCTGTACTACAGCGGCAATACCAGCCCGCCCTTGAGAGCTCTTGAGAGCGGGCTGGTGAGAAGTTCTCACTGAGAACACCTCTTCTGACCACTTTTTCTCCCCATCACTTCAGCTACGGGACTTCTGTGGTCTCACGGCCACGACATCGCATTCATCGCGGAAGAGGAAAGCAACCAATTATGCGTGATTGTCGAGGAAACACGATTGCGCACTTCGGAAGCTAGCCTAATCACAAGCAATAAAGTGGAGAGGGACAGACTAGGGACAGACTAGGAAGGACGCGAAGGCAAGGGAAAGGTGATTTCTTCAGCTTTGAAAGTCTATCTACAGCGGCTGAAGGCACGTCTCACGTTCGTACGGTGGCAATACCAACACTAGAGAACACGGGACTTGATGAAGATGCCCTGGACCCCGTTCTAATTTTTTCAGATGGTTCAGATGACATGGAAGATGTGCCAAACACGTGCGCAAGAGACCCAGAGGGTTTCCCAGGAGCAGAGATCGATCACAGGTTCCGCGAGGATACCCTAAACAATGATAGCGACGAGGACGATGACATATTTTCGATGCCACCTCACGACAAGCCTCCGACTCATTGGCTGCAGACGAAAACAGCGATGTATCCATGGTTTCTGAAATCGCCGACAACTAACTAGCTCACTAACTCTGTATGTAACTTAAGACATACAAAGATATGTCTCAGAATAGGCACGAAACCCACGGTTACGTTTCGAAATTAAATGAGATGTGGTCGGACGCGGGTTGCTGGTCCGAAAGAGTGTATTACACTTCCTGCTATGACGCTGGCGTAAATACTCGTTGCTTCAAAATGGATTCAGCGATGTTCATTTCTTTCGGCGTAGTTAGCTTGGTATTAGTATATTCACCTAACGTGATTTTCACTGGTTCATCGAGACACTCGACAATGGAAACGTCATCGGCGACGTCGACATTCTCCGCTTTAACTTTTTGAAACCCTTTCCTCCGCAAGGGCGGTTTAATGACCTGCGGAGTTTGAATCCCACAATCGCTTTCTCGGGGTCGTTTTGAGCACAAAGCTACCATCCTCGCTCTCCTGAATCGTCGCCTTAGACGGGACTCCCAGATCCGCCGTCCCATGTATCATGACGTCCCGAAGCACGTCTCTTGCGTTATCCTCGGGGACAAGCGGTCTCGCAGCGTCATGCACGCACACGATGGAGGCGTCAGGCGGGACGCGCTGCAGGCCATTGAACACGGAATCCTGGCGTTCCTCCCCCGGGTCTGCGAAGACCATCCTCTACATCACTATGGCTCTGGTCGAGAGGCGCACTGAGGCGAATGGGGCGGGTGGACAGCTGAAGTTTGCAGCTCAAACCACATCCCAAACTTTGGGAGGCGTAGTGGGCGGATGGACATCCTAAAGTTTGGGTCCCAGAGATGGTGTCCCAGAGCGTCGCGATGCGCGGCGACGTCTGATATCAGGCAAATGGACTGTCTCGACTTTTGGAGAGTGTGCCCTTCTATCCGAACGAAAAGTTTCGCTTATTTGTCTCGGCCAGCAATTCAAAACAAATCAATCTCCGGTCATAAACTGGCGAATGAATGGTCGTAATGCATTATCGCGCACACTTGTCAAACATTTATTCCTCATCATGCTAAGCAAGTGAACTGGCGGCAGCCTGAAACCGCCTCCCACAACTCTCCGAGATCGAGAACCCGAAAAGTCTCCCGCGCTTTGCGTGGCAAAAATAAAAGGGTCATTCTCAGGAATTGAGGTATGCATTGTAACATATTATACGTGTACTGTATTCCTTGCAATCTCAATAAAAACAAGAAACAAAATGCACCTGTCTGCTACTGTATCGATACAATATCATGTGTCCCCCCCTGACACCGAAAGATTTTGACCTTGTCCCCCTCCCAATCTCAGAATGACCCATTGCAAAAATAAGAAATTACAAAATTTTATTTCTTTTCAACTTTGATGGTCGCAGTTTCTATTTTTCCTAGGAAAAATAGAAACTTGTTTTATAATTTTTCTGAAGTTAGAAACCAATAGAAGGCACTCTACGCAATGTTTCTATGTTACTGGTATAAAATTAGCCTAAAGAAAAATGCTTACTGTAAACCGACTTTTTCTATTGAACACCTTTATGTGCACCAAAGAGTCGCTTGTCGCTAGAATGGACAAGCAAGTGCTTTATCTGTAGTGATGGCCTTCTGGTTGCGGAAAACAGAAGTGAAATCGCGTGTTGCCTCGTCTAGAAAAATAATGTAACTTTTGACCTCATATGAGGTTCAACGTACGTCTAGACTCTAGCTTCCCTACATAAGGTAGGCAGTCAGTGGGCATCAGTAAACCTAGGCATCGATCTTGCATCACACTGTGTGAACGGTGGACCAATAGCTCTCCCTGTTTACAGTACTTGTCGTCGCTCATCGGCTGTATTTGGTCCCTACAAGACAGGCTGCCCTGTGCGGCCGGATAGCGGAAACGTCACCGGCACTGCTAGAGAAGCGGCTATGACTAAGGGTCCAATTACAAGAGAATTCCCATAATCGTTTGAGAAGACTCTGGCGTAAAGCCTGAAATGATACCATGGAAGATATTCGGGCAATCGGGTTATCGTTTAGTTATGTCTCTATTGATTACGAAATATTGAACTATGTTACAATCAGCAGAGGACTACATCAGGAATTTCTAGAGCACAAACGAGAGAAGCCATGTGAAACGTCACAGAAGGATGACAAATCTCAACTCTTTTGAAGCGGCGCGAGCAGGCACCTCGTCCTTTTGACAAGTCCCTTCCTCCTCAGCCTTTGAAATTCGGCCACCCAAAGACAGAAGAGAGGAATTGCCGATCCCCTGGCAGGATCGTAGGTCAGACGGTGTGCTTCTGCGGTCTTCGACTCGATGCGAATATTCGCCAACAGGACATCTGCCGATGCTGCGGTTGTTTTGGCGCGCGGACCACGTCGAGCCGAAGCATCACCGGATGTCCAACAGGCGAATGATTCCGGCTGGTCGCCAGGGACCATCAACACCACCAAGTTGTTCTGCTGAACAAGGAAGTTGCTTCTTCGCAGTTTCGTCGCCGTCGCGACAGTGTCTCCGGACAATGACACAAGGCTCCAAGAAGTTGGGCTCTTCATGGCACTGATGAACCATACGGTGCCGGTTGGCAGGAGGGCAATGGAACCACCGCTTGCGTCTGTGCTAAATAATAGAGAAGCGCAGTCTGTTGTAACGTCTGTCGGAAAGCAGTTGGCAGAGGTTACTCGACGCTGCAAGGCGCCGTCGCCATTCTCAAAAATTGCGTCAAGGACTATGAAGTCTCGGAAAGGCATATCGGCTTCGGTCCTAAAACATGCCAGTTTTGCGTTTTGAGTGTAGAGATGCTGACTTGATAAGGTGCTTCAGTTGTTTCTTCGTAATGGTCACGGGGTTGAGGAAAATGAGAGAAGAGTTATCGTGAAGGCTTACTATACTTGTATCCAAAGCAAGCGGTGCTGCGGCGGGCCAGTATAAGCATTGGAAATTCATCGCGCTGTCACCAGGATTCCATGACGCATCAACGTCGGGAATTGCACGTTCGCCTCTAACAGCGATGGGTGAAGGTGTGCATGCTGAGCGGGTGAACCGTTTTTGTTCTTCTGTCCCGTCTAGTCCCGAAAGGATGACTTGGGTATAACTTGAGACCACGCAAAGGGCAGGGGGTCGAACTGGATGCCCTGGTTTCAAAGCGCCAGGTCATACGTGACGCAAGTGAAGATGGAGCTGGAAGGAAATGAATATTTTGCGATCTTGAACCAATTACTTGCGTTTTAAGGAATTCTTTGTAGGCTGCCTGCCGTGCCGTGACCGTTCAAGCAGCTGTTCGGCCCTTGCGGTCTTCAGAAGCCGTTTTTGCAATTGGGGAACGTCGCTCTGCAACAAGCGAGCGCGGTGTTGGTCACCGGTTCGGGACGCGCAGGTTGCAGTAGACCGCATTTGCTCCGCATGGCAAGCTCAGCTCAAGATGCGCCAGCGCAGAGTGGCCCATACAGGATTTGAAATTTTAAGGGCTGTAACGTACATGTGTGACAGCACACGCTGACGTGCCGGATCAGATATGTCCTATGTTACACGTGTATACAGCTCCAGCATGGTACTTGACACCGCCGTCTCTCCGTTCGTCACAGAGCCCGTCCCAACATAACCATGCCTTTGAGAGCCCGTCAGTAAACATGACCAAGGTCTTGAGTCTCTCCCGCAAGATACATGTGCATCACGTGTCGTGACGTGGCATGAACTTAGGCCGTTCCATTGGCTGTACCCGCCTCTACCACCAATAGCCCTCTCTACCGTACTGAAGGTACGATTGAGTACCGTACTGCTGTACCAACAACAACTGCAGTTGGACGCAATTCTCCCATCATCTTTCCAACAAAAGTGTGCTTCAGACATTCGTTTGTGGCTCTCGCATGGTGCTCTATTACGTTTGATATAAGGTATGGTGTCTCTTTTATTCGATCAGTTCAATTCTTGGTTCGTGTTTAAAAAGAAAGAGGTGCTTCTGGAGGCTTTGGCATGGGCGCAAATCGCAGTTGTTCCCACGCCAAAAGAAACGCACAGTTTCGCCTGACCGTTTCTGGTGATGAGGGAGGCTGAAGCCCGGGTGTCCGAGCCGGCTTCCACAGTCGTGTTGACGGTAGACTTCTCAAGACAGTCTGGGACGGGGACACGGAAGGTCATGCTTCTGCCTTGGCAGTCTTGCCCTATAGGCCGGAACGGCTTTCACCATGAGGGAGCTGAGCGATTGTGAAAGATATGCACGCAATGTGCTGATGTGGAACACAAGGTGGACAAGGTGGGCATCAGGTGGAAGGATGCACGTTTATCTAGACATGAAGGGTCGACTCTGTCAAAATGAGCGCGATTTGTGGAACACATCGGGCTCTCTGCTGTGAAGGGATGGAGGGCCTTTGCTTCGCCAACAATACTTGGAAGGGGCACACTCGCCTGAACTCTGTAGACCCACAGCCGGGGAGCATGGCGGCGGCAGAGGTGACGGTCAAGGGAAGCAGGGCGCGCGAGCCTGCGGGACGGTGGTGTACGAAAACGTCAGGCGCATGCACAGGGGCCCAGGTGTCTAGAGCGACATCGAGGAGTTTTGGCCCAAGCGGTGGGGCGGCTGCGGGGTAGAGGCGGAGCGTGTGCTGTTTGGGGCGAACACGACAGTTGGTGTCGCGAAGACAACATAAGAGGACGGGGGAGGAGGAGGGCATTCATTTCGATGGAAGCAGAAAAGCGATGAGTGGTGCTTTGGCAGTGCACAGCAATGGGGGTGCCTGGGTGCACAGTTTGTTAGAGGACGGTGGCGAGTAGGCTTTTCCAGAGATTAGATGTGGTG